TTTCGAACATTACAAATCATTCAACTTCAGTGAATTCGCATCGGACATTAGTACTTTTACGAAAACATTACCTAACGTCACCGGTATCAAATCATTATTATTAAGATGGAATATAAATACACTTAACACTATAAAACTGAGAAATGCATGTTATATTAAACATTTACATATGTAATCTGTATAATGAAACAGGTTCTATGGACATCATGAATGATTTATCAGAACGCAAACAAATTTATCAGATACCTGTAGAAAGTGTGTAATTAAGCACTTCACCTATCACAACAAAACCTTGCCAAAACATATATAATGATAAATATAACATCAAATTATTATAAATAGCGTCTGTAATCTTATATTAGTTCATAGTTGGTCCTCCTTCTACTCTGATAGCCTCTGCAAGGCGACGTAACATGCTGTCGATGATGTTATTGATATATTTCATCCCAACTTGTCACTATAATGTGATGAAACTCAGCTACAGTAGGTGGTTTAGGGTTAGCAATTTTCCGCCTCAGTTCTACCCAACAGTTCTCAGTGGGATTATTCTGGAGACTTTGCTGGCCATGGCAATCTTGTAACATCTTCCTGGTTGAGATAATCTTGTACAATATGCGCACTGTTGACAGTGGCATTATCATCCTCGAACACAAAGTTATTGCCAAACCTTACCCTAGCATATGGCAAAAATATCGTCTCCGTGTGATGCCTGTAGGAAGCAGTATTGACGTTTCTCCAGAGGATATGAAGAGCAGTTTTTCCACCATGATGAATAGCTGCCCAACATGTATTGCACCACCTCTTGTGGGAAATACAGTCTTCCCTCATCTGTTCTCCAGGCAAACGATGAACAAGAATCCCACCGTCAGCTTTCAAAGAGTCGGAAAAAGGACTCATCTGAAAAGATGTCATGTCAACAGTGCAACTGTAGATTGCCATGCTGTCTTGCCCAAGTAACACGGTGACGGTAGTGAATTCTTTTTAATATCGGTTTGTAGATAGCCCTTCCTGCAAAATATACTTGTTTGGTCAGTCAGTTCTTCTGGATATCCTGAAACGAATGTGTTTATACCATTCCTGTCGTAAGGTGTTGCCATGTTCGATCGTGACATGTTAACCTGATCAAAACACGGTCATCTCTGGCGATATTTTTTCTGCGTCTACCAGTACACTTTCTTGGAACAACGTTTCCTGTAGTCCGATGACGTTTCAGAGTTCTGTTCTGGTAATGTCCATTTGCTTCATACTATTTTTGGACAGTCAAACAATTTGACGCCTTATAAATTTTGGCACGTCACGAGGCATGACTCTACATCAAATATAGAGAAATTTTCTAAACATAGCGTTGATTTGTTTCGAAAAATATTATACCAAAAGTACACCCTTTTATTCAAAACAGGTGTATATGTTGTGTGTTTTGACAAATTCTCAAAACAACGTATGCAGACCAGAATTACAACTTGTACATGTTTGTCCAATCATATTCTACTTTCTCTGTTAGTACTGTATTCGGGCATTTACTCAATAATTACTCCATTCAGTCATTATGGCCATGAATGTATATATATATATATATATATTATTATGTGTTTTAATAATATCAGTTATTTTATACTATACGAGTAGAAAAATATTATATTACTGTTTCTAGAATTAGTAATATATACATTAATTTTCTACATAGAGTCTACAGCTTTGAGTGTAATTAACAGTCAAGCTTAACTACATTAATAATAATCAGCATAAACCTGACGATAATTAAAGCCTTTTTTTTTACGCTTTGCTATTTCGCTAGCTTATGAGATAATAAGGATTTTAGAATAAGACTATGTCGATCACAATTTTATGTGTGGAAAAATAAATCAATAAAATTATTCATGTGATATATCTTGGTTAAGACGGACGAAATAGTCTGTTCTAAAAATCCCTAAAGTCTGGGGATTTAAGAAATAAGTATGTGATTTTTTTTCCATAATCCTTAACGAATTAACTGCTACGATCTTACTTTTTTGTAACAGCTAAAAGCTTTACCCAGTCTTATATGTTTCCAAGTTTATAACTACTTTTCCTTTTACTCAGAGTAAAATATCATTTTTGGATTATTACTCCGATATTTATTCTGTGTCTGGAACAGCATCTATCTACTTCTACCATTTATCTAATGAAAAGTGTAAACTTCTAAATAACCTGGCCGACAGATAACGTCCTGTTCTATTTCCTTTATTTATTTGAATGTTGTTAGGTCATCCATATGAAATTATAGCGTGACTGCACCTGGTCACAGCGAAACTGATCGTTTCCGGCACCCCAACGCAGTATGGTAAATACTTTGTTTGATGAACATAAAAATAATCCGTACTACCCGCGTCGCGTGGGACGACGGGAGAATAAGAGGCGTCACACGCGCCATATGACCGGCGCTCTTGTCTCTAGGTGAAAAGGCGGAGAAACTGCTTGGTAGACTGAGTTGGGATAGATTGTTACGTATTTGGTAAGGACCGTGTGTCTCGCTAAGCCTCATTGATACGTCTGTTGAAAAACGTGGTCATATCGAACCAGTATGATTTCCAATACTAGGAAAATAAGAAATAAGACTTTGGTCGTAAACTTTCTATTCACCCTCTGTTTTCTGAATGGTAAGTGAAATATTTTTGTCAAATGTCATTAAGAACCATGGTTTTATATTTCGATCAGGGAAAAAATATTTCTAAGCACGGTCACAAAATCTATCGCGAATATCAAAATAGCAATGACTAAAATGTAGAGCGAAAGAGTAAAGAAATTTGAAAGTATCACAGAATTTATAATGAATAGCACACTAGCTTTTGTTTTTTTAGAAATCGAAGTGTACTAGTGAAGTTCAAATATATAACGGCATATATATTGTATATTACTATTCAATTTTAAACAGTTTTCATATTATGTAATATCCCCTAATTAAATAACTTTTTTTGCTTTTTAAAGAAAAAATTGATAAAATGTGCACTGAATGAGTTTTTTTCTACTGAGTAGAAGTAAATTATAAATTGATGAAGGAGCATTTTAAGAGCATTGAAGAATTAACTAGAAGCAGTATTGAACCCTGTGCAGATAAGTTAGGCATGTATCAAAGAGAAGGAATAATACCTTCAAAAGGTTTATTATTATTTACTTATTTTATTCTTTTAATTTTTCTCCAAATTAGGTACTTGCATTAAAGGCGATATGAAAACGTACAAGAGTAAAGATTTATATTCAGCAAAAGCTTGATCTTCTGCTTACAACTTAATTCTGTAAATATAGGTTTCTATTTTCGTCCTAGTTTACTGGCGACTAAAAGGTTGGCATGTATCCAAACATATAGCAGCAAATGTTGGGACTGTCTCAAACGCTCACGAGACAATGTTCTTCAACCGATCTTAAAATAAACGTAGAACGTCTCCCCAAGATGAAATCTGCGGCTCCGTTCTGTGGAAACTCAGTAACTTAAAGCTGTTTCTAAGTGCTACAGTGAAACCGAGATACGTTTTACTATACATGACACTAGAACATTACACTATTTTATTGAATTTTGTGTGAAAAGTACCAAATACCGCATTGAAACTTCGCTGAGTATTGAATTTTAAGCATCTAAATGTTTTCATTTAAAATTAATATAACAATATATTGCGAAATTTAAGTATTTAATACAAACATTTTGGAAGTTATTATGTAAATAATCATATGCGTCGAGATATATATTTGAGAACAAAAAATACAACCATGGTTTCGTACCCTCATGTAAGTGGTTTCGACAAAAAGACTATTTTAACGTGATACACCAATTATTCGATTTTGTAAACTATCATGGAACGATTACATACACTACTTAAAAGTTCTTCGCGATATGGTTAATAAACAAGCTTTATCGTGTATATTACACTTGGATATATTTATTGAAATATTAAAAAAACATGATTTCAATTTAATCCTTATGATAGCGTGGCTCTTGTTGTTTTTCTTATAAAAGTGCGCTTCCTTACTTGTGCGGATTCTCCACGATTCATTACTGTTACATCGATAGTGGCGCATTAAAAACTCGGGCACTTTCCAGCCTTTAAAAATGTATATGAACTGAGTTTGAATGTGTAATATGGCAGGAAATCAAACATCTTTTAAATGCATAAGCAATAGGTTTAATCGGCCATTGTTGGAGCACTTATAAAAATAATAGTGATTTGACAGACTTATAACAGTTCATAAGTTGATCATAGGTACATAAATCATTTCTTTGATTTTGAGCCTTAACTGAAAAGCATTGGTAATGTTCAAGACACAAACACTTCGCAGTTGTTATCAACATCTTAAAGGGTATGCTCTCAAACACAAGATCGAATAGGTTTTTAATAAGAATGACTTCAAACAATTCTGTCATGTAAACACATACGGGGCACACTAGATAACCTTTGTTTAAGCCTAGAATAGTGTGATATTAACCATACGTAAGTATACATTATATATCATACTAGTTCGAGATAGGTAGCCCTCCCCGGTAGCTCAAATATATGTCAGTGGGCTTGTAACGCTAAAAATTGGGTTTCGAAACCTGCAGGTGGGAAGAGCACAGACGACCAGTTGTGAAGTTTTGTGCTCTATACAACAAACAAACAGATATGTAGTAAAATATTGAAACATATACTTTTTGCTTTTGTTGTTTATCTAAATATAAACCTGGCACTAGGGTCTGGGAGAGCTCTTTATCTTTAAACGTGGTAGTCAAAAAAGCTAAATCATCTAACAACGGAAGGCAATCTACCAAATTTTTCTAATGTTCACTTTAATATCAAGTGAATTAGTAGATAGATATTTCGATCAAAAGCGAGCTTAATACATAGTTCTGAATTAAAATACTTTAAAGAAGAACTTGAATTTAATGAAGACAACCCTGTACAACTACATAACAGAAATAATGCTTACCTTAGGAATTGTATAAATACGGCACGTGAAAAATAATTAATGCAGTTTTCTTTGTAGTTATACTTCAATGGTCTAATTATTTTACTTATTTTGGTCAAGTGGATTGTATTAGTTATAAGTTACTAGTCATATTATTCTGTCTGGTTTGATGATAATTAATTCTTAACACTTCAGGGACGTTTCACAATGTTTCGTCATGAAGACACCAAAAATTGTACTTGCATTATTTCAGCTTTTAAAGTTTCTTCCGACAATATAACAAGAAAACTCATTATAAGTTGACTCTCGGATAGCCATCATACAGGCAGTTTCCAATTAATTGTCAGAAACAGCTAGTCTCATAATGAGATAGATAAATAGAAAAACAGAGAAAAAATCAGAATACTCTCGAAGTAAACAAATTAATAAGTCAAGGCATAGTACTTAGATATACGTGCATTTGATGTGATTATTTAATTCAAATTGTATATACGTATAAGAGATTAACATTATAAGAAGTCCATGCTGATGTTTACTTTTCTTACGCGAATTTTCAGTAAAACATCTTGCCTAGATTTTTATTAGAGTATGTTATATGTTCAGACTAACACATAATATTTTTCCTAGTAATCTCTTGTTCGATTTTCTTTTGAAAAACACCATACTAATATTTGTAAATATAACATTAACACGTCGTTTTGAGACACTATCCTTTCTATTAGGCCATTGACTATTAGACAGGGGAGGCTAGATGAATATATTACCAATGATATTCGATTATTGGTTCAGGTATCTTATTTCCTCAAAATATCTTTCATACATAAGACAAATATTTTACATTGTTCTCTAAAGAGGTTCGGCCGATTGAGATGGATAATTTTTCTGTAATTTTTCAGATTATCAGAAAAAAATTATTAGACTATTGAAATAATACTTGTTAAAATAAGCTTATAATAATATCATAACATAAAGCTTGTAATAGTGCCTCACGTGTTTGCGATTAATGCAAAACTTAAGTTTTGATATTTTAGCTCAAGCAGCTCAACGGAAGTCTTATTAAAGTTCTAATTTATCGGACTTCTTTCTTTGTCCATCGAATGTCAACAGAGCCTTTTCTCTAGGAATTTTTAACTGTCATCCACCTGCAAGCTCTTAAACGGCGTATTCACCCATTTGATATTTTGCTTTAGAAGGGCTTTAGAGCTATTTTCGGATGTAAGTGTAGTAAATGGACACTGAAAATGATCAGACTAAATATATAACGCGACGTGCCACATCCGTTGTTTGTTACATAGCAAGAGTAAACAAGTTAACGTCAAAAATAATACGTAATTGTAAATGCAAATCTGTACTTTATTTATTAATTTCTAATGTAGGTTTGTATCAATTTGTTCACTCTTAAGAGTTAATATCTATGTTAAGAAAGAGGTTATCCGCTCCTATTCAACCATGACATACACAGTTTGTAAACTTAATTCTGTGCGCAACAGAACATCTCATGCTGTTAGCATACTTGGAAGTTCCAGTATAACATATTTTTGTCGTCAAAACAGGAAATATTTTTTAAATGTACTAATCTTGTCAAAGTTTTTCAGATTTTTATTAGTGCTTAAATAATTAAACCATATTATCTGAAAAAATATTTTAACAGTGTTTATGTCCCGTATCAGCTAAATTTAATCATAATGTAGGCTCTTAACCCAAGATATAAACCAACAATAGGTCATACTGTAATGCGTCATATACCGAAGTTTCAATGTTTTTGACTCAACTATCTCACGCAGGCCAGTTGCTTTCACAGATGGTCACTGTTATTTACCAAAGAGGGTTGCATGTATTATTTAGTAAAAATAGCGTCTCCTACTCCAGCTGTCCAGCTGTGGCTAGCCTCCCTCACCTAGTGTTATTTGCTTTTAAAGTTCGGCGTGTGGCTTAACGGTGGGAAAAGCAATCACACTAAGTTAGGCGTATGTTGACTGGAAAAACAGTCTAATTTATAAAACATAAATCTTCTATTAACTACACCAAAAACATTTGATTGAGTTGGTAAAAGTGTGAAACAGTTAATTCAAAAACACCAACATTTTTTTAATTCAGTAACCAAAATTAAAAGACGTTACACCCACACCAAATAAATGTTCTATAAAGTAAGAAACCACATCTCGCCCAAGCAAAGTATATATATATATATATATATAAATCATACTTACACCTCTGTATATGTTTATGTTTAATTAGTTGGGAGTCATACTTACACCTCTGCATATGTTTATGTTTAATTAGTTGGGAGTTATACTTACACCTCTGAATATGTTTATGTTTAATTAGTTGGGAGTTATACTTACACCTCTGTATATGTTCATTTTTTTGTCGAATTAATGTATTTGCAGTTTTTAATTGTCACTATTGGTCTTGTAAATGGCTTGGAAAACTTGAGTCACAAGTTCACAACTTTTAGATCTTTCATTATTTTTAGGACAGTTTTGGTGAATTTGAAGTGTTGTTCCTACGTTTAGAGAGGTTTTATGCATCCTTAAAACACTTTCTCCTTTGAAATGAAAAACGAGGACGGAGATCAAGGATGACTTTAGAAATAGTAGGCAAATGACGTCATATACCCTGAAGCAACTTCTAGCTTCCGTTGTTAAATAAGCCACGTGTACGTTTCTTTCACACACACAAACTGGACTGAAAAGAACACGAAAAGTGTCGAAACTTGTAT